CGAGACGGCGCATTCGCCACAGACACTGAACTGCAGCTATACTGGACATGGACAAGATCCAGACTCTCGCCGCCTGCAGATGGAGAGGGTCTGCTAACGTCGCACATACTTCATTCCGGTTTATCTCAACCCATTTTACAGAAGATGTTGCTGTTTCTGCGCTACACAGTGTCGACACATCCATCTACGTACGTATGGGCCGTCAGAACGTCGCAAGAGTGTCTACACTTGCATTTCGCATGAGGCGCGTTCTCGTCGGCTACGGATCCTTAAGATTTCAGAGTTCAACTCTTCTCATTCCATAACGACTTCTTCATACGAAGTAGAATCTAGTGGTACCCATAGCCAGTTGCTAACGCACCGAAAGAGGTCTGGTATTGACATGCAGATAAAACCAGAGGTGGATAGCATTCTTCAAGGTGGAGCAGGTCCAAACGATGCGTACTTCTACTACAGAAGAAATATAAACTTGACCCAACCATGTTAGCCAAGATTCCAGACGAAATCAAACTGAAGAACAGAAAAGTCAGTCTGAAGAAGAAACTAAAAAACAATTGGGATATTTCAAGTTTTTCAGTTCTGATGGAGTGGGCCCACCCGCACATGTGTACTACGGCTGACAAGTTTTTCGGAAGCTTGGGGATTATTGATTTGGCGGCATTTACTCAACAAAGTCTCGACTTTCAGAATGAATTACTCATATTAAACAGATTTGACCACAAGTTTGATGGTGACACCGGGAAAGAAACTTCGTTTGGTGTTATTTTCACATCGCGACGTCTTTTTCGAAATCTGTACCGATGTATTTGTGATCAAAGAGAGACCGGTCTCGCTGGAGTTACCGATGGCACCTACCGCATCGATTTCAGTAAGTGTTATTACTAAATAATTACAAAATATTTATTATAGCTGCTAACCCATGTATATTACTATTCACGTTTAGTAGTATTCACGTTTATTAAAGATCGCTGGACTCTGGTAGCACTCGGCAGTTCTTGCTCTGTGTATGAAAGAAAACGTTACCGACATTCATTTGTACCTTGGATGTACATGTTTGTGCGTACGGAGCATGAATTTGCCAACAAAACGTTATTCTCTACAGCTAAGCGATTCGTCGCTGATTACTTCAACGATTCTTTGGTTTTAAAGTACGGAAGCCAAGATCATGCTTCCTACATTGCTACAGCTTTTTCCTCCATCTGGCCTGGTATCAAAATACTCAATTGTTATCCACACCTTATCAGAAAAGCGTTTGAAAAAGCTGGCCTATTGAATGACTCTGGATTCTACAGTTCTTACGTCGAGATGAATATATACCTCCTCGAGCAAGCGCGTATCGAAGAACAATTTACGGCAATGGCTGAGCGAATAGTTAAATATTGGAGCGACAAAAACGAACAAGCGTACGCGGATTGGTTCAAAAGCCAGTATTTGGGCGCTCTATGGGGTACATGGTTTGCTACTTCTGCTGTGCCTGGTGTTTTGCCGTCACAAAACCCCATCGAATCCCACAACAAAGTGATAAAAACGGTGGGCACATGCAGCGACCTCAGTCGTTTTGAATGACACCCTCCCAGCGATCCTTTTGCTGAACAGTGACAAAAAGATATTCCGATACGGTCATTTCTGCGAAGGTAATATTTAACTTTTTCATCATAATATGTTTGACTAAATTAAAAATTGTGTTAGGTCCTGTTCGCTTGAACACGCACGAGTGTTTTTTCGTGAAAAAAATCATAGGAAGCAATACCTCATCTTGGATTCCCCAACAAAACTGAGCTCCATTGTTTTCAATACTTGGGAATACGCTATTTACCCTAAAAACCAGTGTGGAGTGGAAGTCACCGATGCCCGAGTCTCCAGGGTTTTTTTCATCATTTATCTAACTTAATATATCAGCATAGCTTTCAATGTTTGTATGTCATACAGATATCTCGACTCGAAAAAAGGAAAAGTACGGAAATGGTCCAAAGTTCCTGATTTTAATCTCTCTTTTGCCTCTGTAGTGAATCCTAGGTATTTCACCTTGGTTTCCCTCATAGTTCAACGGAGACGACCCAAGGGCGCCTGGCAGCTTTGCCATCTTCAGGCGATGGGTCTGCGTGTCTTCCCAGTCGGGCTAGTAAGGTCCGACCCGGGTTTTATATTAGGAACCAGGCCAACTACATATCATCTTTCTTGTAACTTTCCCAGCGAACTTTCTGAGGGACGCCTTAGAAAGAAGCTGATAATTAGCTCGATCTGGTTACCATCAGACTCGAGACTCATTCTACGATTTACCCGATACAATACACTTGGCTATAAGTTCCAGCGGGGTGGCTCCCGCTTTGTCGAGTGTTGATTGGTTTTTCGCCCGGGATTTACTACAGCCTCATTGCACGAGGTCTGCTTCAGACTTTCAGCTGAGCTTGACCCCTACAGTACCGTCGGATCAGGTAACATTGTGTAAAATGCTGAGATGCAAAAAATAATTTTAACAATTTATATTTACAGATTCTGGCTGTTCGGTCACGATATCGCTGTGATTGTAAGGGGTTTTGGACTACTGGCTGGGTTTGCAGTCATGTTATTGCAACACTTGCCCTGATGAACTGCAAACAGCAACCGCTCACATGCCTGTTCGGAAACAGAGTGGGGGTCAGCGAAAAAAAACAAATTGTCTGAGCAAGGACGACTCTAGATACTTCGAAGTTGGAAAACTGGAAAAACAATTCGTTTAAAAACCACCCTTTCCAATTGGGTGGAACGTGACCAAACAACTTCCAGTTGAAGACACCGAAGGAAAAATCACGTTGAGAAATGTACCTGGCCGAGTTGTGGATTGGCAAAATTGTATTGGGCCAAGAGGTGTCTATAACTGGGCGGTTGAGTTCAACAATGGTGCTAGGGAATTGCTGGAAGTGGATCAATTGGCTGCGCTGATTAACAAGTGCCACCACGAAGGGCTAAACGTTACAGCGCGTCTTTTCTAGTCGAAGCGTGACTCACGACATCGTGGTGATAACCATAGTAGTTCTAATACCACATGCTTTGCATAATACATACAGAAGTATCGATTTCCATCCAATGGAAATTGTATTGAAACCGGCAATAAGCCAGTGGGGTTATCGTCAGATCGGGCTCAAGGTAATCGCCTCACGGATCCTGACTCGCCAGTGGACCAGCCGGCGACAGGCGCTTCCGACACTTCCTCGGGCACCTTTACGAATCAGCAGATGTCGGCTTTCCCAGATCTTCTGACGTAATCGATCCACTTCGCGGGCTCGTTCGCCCCTGGATCCACTTGGATATCGTCAATCGTGACCTCTCT